CATTATTATGATTTATTTGTGGAACCTAGTAAAAAAAAAAGAATCGAAAACCAATTATTAGATTTATACAGATAATATAGGCCAAAGAGAGTATTGTTAGCAATCTTCGGCCGCAGTTAGCCACAAATTTAACCTTATTAATTTTTGGAAAATGATTAATGGTGGGCTGTTGTTGGTTTGAAGTTGAATGAATGATTTTCTGCATGCTTTCCTTTTCCGAATCTTTTTGTTTACCATGTTTACCTGAACGAGAAAACTTTCCTAGACCCAAATATGCTTTGATATTACTACCTTTTTTCACTAGAGTATCTTTTTCGAACCTGAATTTGACCTTAACCTTAACTTTGAACAAGTCATATGACTTGAGAAGTTTGGTAATATTTGTTTCATGAGCTCGCTTATTTACATCATTTTTTTCGTCTTCAATAGACAGTATGGATTCCATAATTTTTTTTTTGATTGTTTTTTTTTTTTTTTTTTTTTTTTTTTTTTTACGTAAGAGAATTTACCGAAATCATACGTCAATAGCTATTGTTAATACAAACGGATATATGTAGGGGATGGTGAAAATAAGCAGATAAAAAAAAAGGTACGTACGTACCGTATCAGGCATTGATTTATGGTGGTATTTATATAAATTTCACCGACTCTTTATGTTGTTTACAACACGTGATCGCATACCGATTGGCGTACCGAATAATGGGTATTGTTATAGCAATAGGCATGAATTACAACTCCACGTGCACTGTACGAAAACGTTTCGAAAACAATGGGCTCTTTCATTTGTTATAAACTACGGAATCCGAATCGGGAAAGAAAACAAGATCAACTCTATTCGGCCGGAAGCGACGAGAAAAGTTCCAAATATGTCTACAATCATTCATAACGATAATTAGAGTTACTGATTTAATAAATACAGATACCGTAAAATACAGATAATGCGAAATTCCTAATACCGTTCGTGATGAACACCGTCACCACATTTCGAATAGCTAAAAAAAATTCCTTTAAAAAAAAAAAACAAATCAAAGTTTAAATACTGCAGGCGTCACAGGAGGCGTTGCATTTGTCATACAAACTCTCTCCCCTTGTCTTTCTTCTATTCTTCGCTGCAAAACTCTCGCACAGCGTTAATTTCCGCCTAGCTGTCGCGCCTTCCTTTTATCCTATCATTATAACGTAACGACCGAACCCCTTTGTTCTAAAATCTATTTAAAGGGTTGGAGAAAAGTTCATAGCCCCAAACTTTTCGACAGACGCCGTTATAGCGTTCTCTCTTAGTTTTCTCATTTTTTATACTCTGTTATGACATTATTCCATACACTTAGCACGCGCTATTGAAACGAAATTATAATATTGTTTCTTACAATTGCGAACCATAATCTGCATTTAAAATTCATAAATCCTTTATAAAAAAAAGAGCAAAATATATATATATATATATATATATATTGCATTCAACGAAATCATTATGACAACTTCAATTAGTTCTAACGCTTTTGACACTTCTACTCCTGACATGAAAGGATTGCATGTCATAGAGTTTATTACTAATGACCAATCCTATTCGACAGAAAAGGTGAATAGACGGTGTTAAATTTTCAAACACTTTCTTCTTTGCCTTCGTAAAGTTTACAATATAAAAATTTCAATAATTTAACATTGTTAATCAATTTATTACAATTATAATGTACCTAATTCTTGAATAGTTACTAGAAAAGTTGCAAGAATTCCAAACAACTTTCCTAGAAGATTTTGAAGATTATAAGTGCGTATATAACGAAGCCCTTTTCTTGCTTTCCAAATACAATCGTCGCACTCGTAACAAACAATGCATGCTCACAATTTTTTTACGACTCATTTAGTGTTGGATCATCCAAGTTGCATTCATCATACCATCAGTTTGCGACGACCTTTCCTTTTCTAGGAACTGAAAAGGATACATGTCTATTTCAATCGGATGATGGACTACCTTGTGATGATGCTCATTTCTTTGATGATGGAATCATCGAGACCGCTGCAGCTGTCGTCGCTGAGGATTTAGATGCTGGCGATGATGCCGAGGTCAAAACTCTTATGAAAAAGGTTTTTATTTTTTTCAATTTTTATTTTTTTTAAAAAAGGCGAAAATTGGGAGTGATCGGCATAATTGTATGCAAGAATTAAACGATCTGCTTATTTTAAATTATATTCGAAAAAACGCGTTAATTTGACATAACAATTAAATTTTAATTTCTTTATTATGCACATATAATTTTTAAAGAATGCAATGATTCGATCAGCCATAGAAAAGATAAGGAAGGCGACTGAAGAGCAAGAGAAACAACTACGGTACAAAGAAGAAGAGTTACAAGAACTCTACGAAACATTTGCTGAATTAGAAGAAGAGTTATACGAGGTAAATTTAAATTTCATTAACTGCAATACAAAAAAAGAGGAGCTATAAATCTTAACCTATTTTTACTGTAAACGTCGTAAGGTTTCGTCATCTGATCAACCTCAGGCATCTATCGGATTCAGTAGAGCAAAGTAAGCGCATTTTTCAAAAGTAACATGTAAATTGCACATTCATTCCTAATGATCTTTTTTTCTCTTTCTCAGACGCCTTGGATGTTTTTTCGTCCTGATGTTTTTACCAATCCTATTTATTATGGTACTGGACGCATATATCCAAGCAAATTACACGCCTATCAACTAATAGATGCGATGGCTCGAAAAAACGATAGACATTTTTAAAAAGGGAAAAACAAAAAAACAAAAAAAAAAAAAAAAGAAAAAAGTCAGAAAAAAAATTAAAAAAGAAAAAAATTAAAAAAAAAAACCAATCGATCCTCAAAAGAAATGGACATCTCAGTATGTTCATTTTCAGATGATGAACGGGCAGAATTTTTTCTTTTTTTCACGAAAAAACGAAATCATTATATTATCCTAAAAAAAAATTAGGTTGTTTTTTTGCGTGTCGTTTTTTTTTTTTAGATATTTACTCCTCGCATCAATATTCATTTTTCGAAATTTGCGACTCGTCTTATCGATTTCCGAATATTTAGAACATTTGTTTTTTTATTGAAGCTAGCTTCACTTATATTGTTTATATTGCATACTTGATTTGCATTTCACGATTAGACACATATCTAGATATGTATTATGCATTTAATGACCCTCATAAGATATATTTATTCTTTAAGTTTCTAAATTTTCCTTTAAAAAAATCTTATACACCTATTAATTATGCAATATGCATGTGATAGTTTATGTTCCCCTAAGCATTCTTAGTTTACACACTTATTACAAATTTTTGTTTCCTTAAACAACCCATGGCTTATTGTTTGAAGGAAATTTTTATTTCTTTTTCAAATTTCTTTAATACGGTATTTAGCATATTGATTAGGGATACTTTTTAACAACCCATAATTTTTGTTGAATAAGACTACCCTAATCTTCTTAGTTTTTTCTTTGCATAAAAATTTTGTCGCGTATTTTTTTTTTTTCTTTTTAAAAACAATCCAAACTTTTATATTTTACTCGTACCTCACAAGAAAAATTCTTTCATATACCATTACTTCCTTATTACATACTTTATTTTCTTGCATTGTCTGAGTTTATACATATTTTTATATCTACATATATATATTATTTATCAATCTTGAGGGCATTAATCGTAAAATTAGAAATACAATAATTTTCAATATGTAAATGAAGAAAAAAAGAAATATATAAGCGAATAAAACAAAAAAAAAACAATATTCTTGCATTAACATTTTGATACGAATTTATTTATTGAAATATTTTGATTAATTAAGTCTTTTTGCAAGCACTCAAATTTAGTACCTATTTGTCCGCTCACGTGTGATTCATCGTTATTAACAAAGTTGTATTTCAAGCAACTTCGAATATTTTGTCCGGGATATCAAGTAGTATTATTTTGGAAGACACTATAACAAGTAGACGATAATCCCTACTAGTTTACAGCGATTTGCTCTCATTACTTTCATTAATTTAAAGACGATGAAAGCTAATAATTATATATCTCTTCTATTATTTATTATAACATAGTATTCAGAACTTTGATTCTAATAAAAAAAAAACCACATAAATAGTTGTATATTATAATCTATTTTCTTTATTAACATGCTGGTAACTAAACGTATTATCATTAGAATAATTTCAATTAATCTAATAACCCTGACTTAGACAGTTTTCATTTTATTAATATGTATCTCACATATCATAACTAACCCCCAACCTGTTTAATCAATTTGACTATATTTATATCAAATAATTCACTACGAATTGGCATTTCTGGTGTATAAAAAGGATTTTTCATAACATAGTCACTATAAACATCGTAAGTACGTCGAAGTACAAGATCAATATTTGCATGTGTTGGATCGGCAAGAATCAGAAATTTTGTTCCTGTTATTAAAAAAGAAACGTTAAAATAGAAATGTTAATAGAATAAAAGTAATCGAATTCTACAAGAAAAGACGTACCAACCTGTTAACGTTTGAAAGCAATACAATTTAAAAGAATCTGCTTCCAAAACTTCTAATCCGGAAGATGTTGAATTTCTGACCGGGGAAATTTTGGATGTAATAGCGTGTACGCTAAAAAATTTATTAGCAAGTCAGAATTCAAGTTATAAATTAGTAATAACTGGATTAAATAATGATCATTTCATATTTCGTCATAATTTTGACAATAAAAAATTCATTTCGTTAAATGCTTACCCGTGAAAAGTACCGGCTAAGACCAAATATTCATTAGCAGTTAAATGTGCTAACCCTTCATTAAAATCTTTCTGATACATAAGACCACCCGCTTTGCTTATTATATAAAGTGAATAAATCATTCTCAAAAGCGACAGAAAGGAAATGGGTGAAAAGCGGTCCGAATTTATAAATTTATATTAGTGCGTTGTCACGTGAGTGTTACAGAAATGATTACATAATTATCAACACGCTACAGTCGTATGAAACTACCACGTACGTACGTACGCACGCAGGTTATAACCAGTACTTTGATACTGGAGTTATTAGCGTTAGTGAGTTGGGTCAATCTTTAATCCAGTTAAATTCTACTTTGGGTACATAGGGGTTATGTTCAGGACCTTGTGACCCGGTCTTGGGATTAGTTAGGACTAAAAATACTAATTTTAGGACTCGATCCATAATAGGTTCTACGTAATATCGGATAAATAGATATATACCGGGTGGGTGAAAAGTCTCTATACAGGTCCCTTTTTTTACTATATCTGCTAAATACAACTTATCATTATATCAGTCATAGGACATATCCACATATAAGGGCTTAGAATGTTGTTACTTATAAATCAAACGAGTTGACTCACCTAATTTTATATGTAAATTTAT